CTAGCTTCTGCCTTTTTCGCTCCCGCGTGCGCGGTTGCGAACTTATCTGCAATTTCTTTGAATGTGGATATCGATCGTACTGGTAGCTGAGAGTACCATATCAGCGCTCCTCCTGTCAGAGTTTCGCCGAACATTTTCAGCAGCACAGATAGCACATGTTCCTTTTATAAATTGTTACCCTTTACTGCGGTAACGTAGTGGATTAGGTGATCTTCTGGGTCTGTAGTACCATCATATATTTTTAAATATGGCGACATTTTGAAGGTCTTTTAATAGAATGGGGAGTTTCCCCTTCGCTATATGGCTATTCAACGAACCGGCCTTCGTCACGTTTTGGTAACAGCTTCGGAGCGCCTGGTATTTTGTCGACCCTTTCCTGATGTTCCTTCATCTAGTCGCAGAGTGTTTTATTCTCATCCTCCATCTCTTCCATTTTCTTTAAGATGTACATAAGGGCATCGTCACCTGCATCAGTAACAGTGTGGGTATTACCTGTTCATGTAGCACTTGGCTCATCGGCAGCGGTTGCGATTTCTGTGGGTAGCGCGTCTTCGACGCCTCCCTGAATGGGTTTCTCGAGCATGTTGCTCAAGGCACTCGTTAACCATTCTTCTAGTAGCCTTTTGACAGCTGGTGGCGCTTCTCCTGCTGAGGATGTTGAGGTTCCTCTCTCGCGTAAGATCATTAGATCTCCGTGCGGAGGAGGTGAGATCTCACCCTCAGGTATAACACTTGGTGTCGCATTTTCAGTGTGTTCTCCACTGGCCTCGTTGAGGGAATTCAGAAAGTTATTTATGACACCCTCTATTGCCTTTAACCTTGCTTCTCCCTTTCCGCCATCGTCAATTTTTATGGAGCTGACGAGAGATGACCGTTTCTTTCAAGGATCTAGATGAAAACTACGATTTCAGCTATAGAAATCCCCAGAGACGGCGCCAAATTATTTGGCTCAAAAGATGTTAAAACCTTTTGAACAAATCAATCTAAGATGAAGGGGTAAATCCTAGCTGAAGATAATAATCTCTAGAATGAATAATAATAGATAAAGAGAAGATGGTTGTTAGTTTCTTTTCATTCAAGAATGGTAAGCTTCCCAGAGTATCGATGCCTTATTACATGGTTTTTGTCCCCCTCATATACTAGAGAGAAACTCTTTTCTTTTGTAAGAAACAAAATACAAGGAATATTCGACGGAATATTCTTAATGTCCCCTAATGGGCTTACTCTACTGCAGGGGTCGTATAATTTCTTCTTTTGCCCTAAGGTAGTCTCTCTCGGGACGTCGACTCGAAGATACCTGGTCATTTGTCATACTCGTTGTAGGTCGTGATCGATCAAATTTGGACCCATACAGTCAGAACTAGAAAAATGGAAACAAATAGTCTTCAGTTTGGTTCAAAGCTTGCGCTTGGATGCCCAAAATGTCATTAAAATTATTTATTTGTCATATTGTGAGACTGGTATTCGTGTTTTAGGTGGTGAAATAATTCATTCCAAATATATTTAAAAGGGTAAAAGAACACTCGTTTAGTTTAGGTGTTCAAACCTATTTTTTAAACAAGTTTAATGGTATCTTTATATATTTGGCCTTCTTAATTTAGTAACTTTTTAAATCTAACTATCTATATGACCGTTTAATGCCACAAAGTTCAAAAGATTTTTTTGTACATTACATGTTACTTTAGTTTAAAATCACAAGATTTTAAGGTCTCCCTTAAATTTTGTGCTGGTCAAACTAAGACACTTAAATTAAAATACGACATTAATAATCACAATATAATGTACTCATGCCGTCTCATATTAACAGGTTACTAAAAATAGTTATCTCAAATTATTTGTCACTTTAAAAGTTCAAGACAAAATAGATTATCTTTTTTATTTTTTATTTTTAGTAGTAATTATCTTTGAAGACTGCAAACACCTCAATTATGATAACTTTGTTCAAATATTAATAAAAAAATTAAATATTAAAATATAAATAAAGATAAAATAGTCGAAATCTCGTCCTAATTAATTTTTCTTAAAGAGTCTGTATAAGGCCTCATTTGTTTTTATTAAGAGTAAGACGTCTGAATCTGAATACACATCTGAATATGAAGATATGCATTAAGATCAAGACATCTGAATCTGAATACACAACTGAATAATTAATATGCTA